GGGCTGTGTCGGGCACAGGGGGACGGCAGGCACGGGGCAGGGCTGTGCTGGGCACAGGGGGACAGCAGGCATGGGACAGACCTGCACCGTGCCCGTCCAGCACCTGCCAATGCTGTGGGTGGCACGAGGTGTTGGCGCAGGTGGGAGCCTGGCACTTGTGGCTCCCGAGGGACACCGGTAGCTCCTGAGGGGCTGTGACACCCCCGGGGGTCCGCAGTGCTCCCCAGTACCACGATGGCTCCCAGCGGGGTGGGAGCCTGGCGCTGGTGGCAGCTCTCGAGGGGCGCTGGCACCCCAGGGCTCTGCAGCCCTCCCCAGTGCCACGATGGCTCCCAGCCGGGCGATGGTGCCAGGGCCACCAGTTGGGGCTGTGGGGCTGGGGTTGTGGGGTGGGAGCAGCGTGCAGTGCCCCCCCCCGCAGAGGGGTGACAGGCTGTGTGGGGGCACCGTGTCACCTGGGCCAGGGACAAGGGCGCGGGAGTGGCGGGGGCTGAGCCGGTGTCGAGTGTCGCATTTCCACCGTCCTTCTGGGGTGTGTGTGGGGTCACCGGGCAGAGTGACATCCCAGGGTCCCCACGCCGGGGGGTGGATGCCGTGACCCCCAGAGCCCAGGCCAGGGCTGGCACCCCGCGTTGGTGGCACTGCCCCTCACCATGGCCTCGTGCCAGCGCCATGTGTCCCAGCTCTGGGCACGCGGCCCCAGTTCCGGTGCCGGAGTAAACAAAGCTGGTGCCAGCTGCCGGCGTGGCTGCGGCACCATGGGAGCCACGGCGGCTCTGGGGGCCCTGCTGGGGCTGGGCTGGGGCGGGGGGCGCTGCTCCCGGCCCTGGGACCCCCACCTTGCCCCCACGGCACTGCCTGGCACACCCGGCACGCCCCGGTGCCCTTCGGACTGCGCGGTGCCGGGGGCTGTGGGGCGCAGGTGGCGTGTGGGTGCCCCCCCGCACCCTGTGCTGAGCCCTCATTAGGGTGGCACTAATCACCCTGGTGGTGCCACCAGCCGTGACAGGCATGGGGATGGGGCTCGTGCTCCTGCCTGGGGCCTCCTTGGGGCTCCCAGGGGACCCCAGAATGCCCAGCTGTGCTTCCCGAGTGGTGTGGGGTTCCCACCCCCTGCCAGGCCTTGGGTGCTGCTACTGGGCCCATGGGGACGTGTGATGGGGGTCCTGGGGGTGCTCTGCAGCCCCCCACCATGACTGCCCTCCATGGGGACCGGCTGCCCTGTGGGACAGGGGGTGGGACCCCCTGGCAGTGTGTGACCCCTGCATCTGGGGTGTCCTGTCAGACAGGCCCTGTGCATGGAGACTGTTTTGCTGGGTCTTGGCCCTGGGGGCTGTGTTGGTGCCACCACGGGTGCCCCTCTCTGTGACACAATGCCAGTGCCACCTGCCGCTGTGGGGCTGGCTTGGGGGAGTCTCATGGGGTCCCATTGCTGCCCCTCACTGCACTGAGACACCCCCCCACCCCCGGCACGGGAGGCAGGGATCCTATTGCTGATGGCTCCGGCCTTGTGTCTGGGCTGTGGCATTCCCGGTGCTCCTGGTGCTCCCCGTGCCGCTGCCACCCCACCAGTGCCCTTGGAGTCGTGCTGACCCCCATCCCGAGCCCCCGGAGTGTCCTGGTCCCCGGTGCCGTGGCAGAGCCGTGGCAGAGCCGTGGCGGAGCTGTGGAGCCGCCGCGTCGCCGCCGCTGCCGCAGCCATTCGTCTTCCCGACGGGTTGTTTATGGCGCCGGGGACGCCGGGAGGTCACGGCGCCCGCGGGGGACCCGTGTCCCCGTGGTGACACCCCTGGGGCCTCGGGCTCCCCGGGGAGTGTCCCTGGGGAACGGGGAGGGTGCACAGACCCCCAGTTGCTGCCGTGGCCTTTGGGGTCCCCCCGTGCGTGGCCCCGGTGTCGGCGCAGGGCGGGGGCAACCGAGGGCACGGAGGAGCTGGATCGAGGGTGGGTCGGGGCCGTGTCAGCGTGGCACGAGGTGGCACCTCTGGGTGTGGCTGTCCCCCTGTGCCAGCGGGGTGTCCCTGTCCTGGCTGCACGTCTGGGGGTGCAGGTTGCAGTCCAGGCTACGTGTGTGGGGGTGCGGGGGGTGCAGAGTAGGGTGTGGGGCTGGGGGTGCAGGTTGGGGGGCTACAGGGCTTCAGGGTGCAGGGAGGTCCCCCCACTTTGGGGGTCCTGGTGGTGCCCCCTGGCCGTTCTGGGCAGTGATGCAGGGGGTGCTGGGTGGGGAGTACAGGGTGGATTTGGGGTGCAGCTCTGGAGGTGAGGGGTGCAGCTGGGGTGCAGGGCACTGTGAGGTGCAGGGGGTTGGTGTGCAGGGGGGGTCCCATTGCAGTGCGATGTGTGTCCCTGCCACGGGGGTCCCCTCATTGGTCCTGCCATCGCCCTCACCACGAGGGTCCCCCTATTGATCCCCCCGTCACCCCCCACCCCGCTGGTCCCCCCATAGCCCCCACCCTGGGCCACTCCCCTGTGGGCAGTGGGCCGGGGGGGGCCAGAATCCCTGGGCTCGGGGACTCGGGATTCCCGCGGGGGCGGATGAAGCCGACAGCGGCGGCGGCCACGTGTCGGTGCCACTAATTCCCCCGCGGCGGTGGCTCGGCCGGGACCCCGCGGTGGCCCGGGCCACCCTGTGCCACCCCGTGCTGGCCCCCGGCCCGCGGCCCCACGTGCAGCAGGGAATCCCCCCGCCGCGGGCACAGGGACGGGGACGGTGCCAGCTGGCACCCATCCTGCCAGGCTGCCGGGCCCGGCGCCAGCGGGGGGGACGCAGAGGGAGGACAGAACCGGGAGGGGGGTGATCGATGCCTTGGCGTCACCCGCGTGGGGTCCCCCCGGGGTCCCCTTAGCGTGGGGGGCGCGGGAGGGGGTAGGATGCCCCCCCATCCCCACCCCACAGAGATTACCCCGGGCTGCCCTGACCGCCCCGGCCTCCCCCTCCAGCTGTGGCACCGGATTAACGCCACAGCTGTTAACGACTTCTGAGCGGCTTAACCCGGCCCCACACCCCCGGAGCCCCCCCCGGCCCCCCTCGCCCCCACCTCCCCCGCATGGCCCTGTCTGCAGCGTTTGGGGGAGGGGATGGGGACCACCCCCACCCTCCTCTGCCCTCCTGTGCCTCAGTCTCCCCCCGTGGTGCAGCTGCAGGGGGGGGCTGCACCCGGCTGAGTCAGGATGGGGGGGCAGGACGGGGTGCCCCCCAGGACGGGGTGCCCCCCAGGAGGGGGGAGAGCAGGGGGGGGTGCTTAGATGGTTTGGGGGCCAGGAGTAGGTGCCCAGCAGGGACAGGGGTTGCCCAGCAGAGTGGGGGGCAGGAGCAGGTGTCCAGGATTGGGGGGGAGTGTCCCCCAGTATGCAGGGTGGGGGGCAGATAGGGGTGCCCCTTAGGGGGGTGCTGTTCCCCCGTGTCACTGACCCCCCTCTCCCCGCAGGCAGCTCCTTCCCGTGCCTGGTGGACGTGGTGCCGGTGAAGAACGAGGATGGCGCCGTCATCATGTTCATCCTCAACTTCGAGGCCGTGAGGGAGCCCGAGCCGGGGGAGGCCCCAGCCCCCAGCATCAACCACTGGGTCACCCCGGCCCCCTGGGGCCCCGCAGGTACAGGGGGACAGAGACACCAACCCCTGAGTCACCCCCCCCTCCTGGGTCCACACAGGTGGGGAAGGGGCCTGTGTCACCTCAGGTCCTGCTGACCCCATGTCCCGGGGGGACAGGGCACTGTAGGGCACATGGTGAGGGCAGAGGGTGCCTCGGTGCTGCTGGACAGCACTGGTGGGGGTTGAGGCGAAACCCTGACCCCGACCCCAACCCTGACCCCTACCCTGTCCTTTCCCACCAGGGCACAGCCAGTTCCTGTGGCTGAAGCAGCACCATGGGGAGGGGATTGGAGCTGGACCCTGACCCCAGCCCCAGCCCTGACCCCGAGCTGTCCTTCCCGCAGGGCGCAGCCGGTCCCTGCGGCTGAAGCTGCTGGCGCTCACGGGCAGCCGCCAGTCGCTGCCCCCGGAGCCGCCGGAGCCGCCGGACGTGGTGGTGGTGGACCCGGGGGTGGTGGACCCGGCGGTGGTGGAGCCGCTGGTCATGGACCCGGCCCTGCCGGGCAGCGACTCGGGCCCCGAGGATGCCTCGTCCTCGCTGGAGCCCGGGGCCGGGGACCGTCCTGAGGACGAGGCGGCGCTGATGGGGGACCCCGAGGTGCCGGTGACGCAGTCGTCCCCGCGGGCCGAGCGCCTGGCGCTGGCCTTCGCCAACCACAGCCTGGCCCGGAGCCGGTCCCGGGAGCGCCGGTCCCGGGAGAGCCTCCGCAGCCTCCGCCGGGCGTCGTCCGTCGATGACATCGAGGCCATGAAGGGTGACGGGGACAAGCGCTGCCACAGCCGCCACACCAGCGCCAGCGCCGGCCTGCACCGCGGCTCCAGCACCGGTACGGCCCCGCCGGCGTGGGGGATGATCCTTGGGGCTGGGGACATTGGGGCAGCCACAGCCAGAGACCCTGGTGAACCCCCCACCCCCATTCCCCATGGACCCCACGGTGATGCCCAAGCGCTGGCAAGGGGCTGGAACTCCCCCTCACCCCTGGGACCCCCATCCTGCCTCCTGTGACCCCTCTATCACCCCTGGAACCCTCCCAGCCCATCCTGCAGGCTTCCCCCACCCTGCGGCCACATTGAGCCTCAGGAATCACCGTGGGAATCACCGTGGGAATCACCTTGTTGGCCCTGGAGCTCTTTAAGCGCATTAAGAGAAGGGACAATAATTATAATGATATTAAGGGTAACTGAGAGCAACTCCACAGGTCCTGGGGGGGCCTGTGGCACAATGTTTGGGGGCCCCCTTGCCCTGGAGCTCCCCACTCGCTTTACCTGCCGTGGGACCCCAACCCTGGGATCTGTGGGGAGCTGTGGGACCCCTGCCCCAGGAGCCTTGGGGAGCCATGGGACATACCCCGGGATCCAGGGTCCATGTCTCCCCCGTCCCCTGCCCGCTGTGGGACCCCCGGGGGTCCGTGTCCCCCCCCGGTGACAGTGTCCCCTGGCAGGCGCCGTGGCCGCCGTGCGCAGTGCTCTGCTCAACTCCACGTCGGACTCGGACCTGGCGCGGTTCCGGGCCATCGGCCGCATCCCACAGATCACCCTCAACTTCGTGGACCTGCAGCCTGGGGGGCTCCTGGCCCCGCCCCCGGCCCCCCGCCCCATCATCGCCCCCACCAAGCTGCGCGACCGCACCCACAACGTCACCGAGAAGGTCACACAGGTGAGACCCCAGAGGGGTTGGGCGGTGCCAAGGTGACGAGGTGGTGCTGGAGGTGACCAGGCGGTGCTGTGGTGGCCAGGGGAGGCCAGAGGTGGCTGGTCAATGCCAGGGGGCCAGGTGACGCTGAGGTGGCCAGGGGGTGACAGAGGTTGACCAGGCAGTGACAGAGGTGACCAGGTGGTGCAGAGATGGCCAGGCAGTGACGGGGTGTCTGAATGATGTTGGAGGTGGCCGGGCAGTGACGACATGGCCAAGCAGTGCCATCCTCAGAGGGGATGGGCAGTGCCAGAGGTGGCCAGGTGGTGCCAGAGGTGGCCAGGTGGTGCCAGAGGTGGCTGGGTGCTGCAGGAGGTGGCCAGATGGTGCAGGAGGTGGCCGGGCAATGCCAAGGTGGGCGAGTGGTGCTGGGGGCATGGCCGGAGCCCAGGGGATGCTCCAGCGGGGAGCTGGAGCTCACTGGGAGGTGCCAGAGTGCAGTGGGAGGCAGTGGGAGCAGGTGCTGGTGCCAAGGGCACCACTGGGTCCCTGGAGTACCCCAGCCTTGGTGGGGCCAGAGGGGCCAGTGTGGCAGGATTGGAGGCCACTGTACCCCCACTGTGGCACCGAGTCCCTCAGGGAGACCAGCCAGGGGGGTTGTGGCCGCAGTGTTCTGGTGCCGGTGGGTGCCATGGTGGGGGTCACGTGGCTGGGACAGACCACCCAAGGCACATCAGGTCCCTGGGGTCTCCCAGTGGGGCACAGGCGGCAGACACCCCCCGACCAGGGCACCCCTCACCCCGGTGCCATGCAGGGCACCCCTCACCCCGGTGCAGGGCACCCCTCACCCCGTGCCGTGCCTGCCCGGTGCAGGGCACCCCTCACCCCGGTGCAGGGCACCCCTCACCCCGGTGCCGTGCAGGGCACCCCTCACCCCGTGCCGTGCCTGCCCGGTGCCGGGCGCTGGCAGCGGCCGCTAATCCGTGGCCCGTTGTGTAACCGCCATCTGCCACGGGAGCAGGAGGCGCCGCTTAATTACACCCTGATTGCCCCCCCGCTAATGAGCTGGGGGGGCCGGGGGACTCCGGGGACCCCCGGGGGGCTGCGCGGGGGGGCACCCGCTGCCTGTCCCTGAACCCCCCGCGCCAGGGCTGTCCCGGGGGCCCCCGGCAGCTGGCAGAGGACAGAACTGCCCCGGCGCATCTGCCCACGCCCCCGGAGCCCCCCCGAACCCCCCCGGCCCCGCACCTGCCCGCACACGTGAGGGAGCCCGCGGGGGACCCCCGTTCCCACCGGGAGCTCCCGACCCTGCTGCCGGGGCTCCAGGTGCTCCTCGCGCCGGTGCTGGAGCAGCCGCGGGACCCTCGGCGGGGTGGGGGGACCCCTCTGGGGCGGAGGACCCCCTTCACTCCGCATCCCCCGGCGCCCCCTGTTCCTCGCGGAGCCTCTTGGTTGCCTTGGCCGTGGTTAAATGCGCCACCGGTGATGCCCCGGTCCCTCCTGCCCCCGCCGTCCCCACGAGGGGACACAGTCGCCGTCACCCGGGGCGGGCTCTGCCCCCAGCACTGGGGAGGGGTCTGGGGGTGCCCCGGCTGTGCTGGGGGGAGCACCCGGCATCTGCCCGGAATGGGAGGGGGGTCCTCCCCGAGGCGGGCAGAGCCGAGGACAGGGACGCGGGGGACATGGGAGTGGGGGCATAGAGGTGTCCCTGGCTCGGGCACGGCGACCCCCGGCCCGGTGGCAGCGGGGAACGGCGCGTCCCGGCAGCGGCACCGTGACTCACCCGCGGGGCTGGAGCCAAGCGCCCGGAAAGGTCACCACGCCCTGGGTGACAGTGACAGGGCCTGGCGTGGCCGGGGTGGCCGTGGCATCCCCACGGCTCAGGAACTCCTGGGGACCCCCCGCCCGTTCCGACGGGGACCCCTGGAGGGGACAGGATGGGGCTGGGAGACCCCAGACCCGCTCAGGGTGGTGGGCCCGGTGGTGCCACCAGCCCGGGAGTGTCACCGGCACGTCACTGGCTGTCGGTGTCGGGCTGGGGACTCCGAGGACCCCCCGGTCCCTCTGGCACCCAGTGCGTGGGTGCGGGCGCTGCCCCCCAGATCCCCCTTCAGCCAGGCCGGGGGTGCCCGGGGGGGCCGGGCGGGCGCAGCCGTGGGGCACTGCCAGGGCTGGGCGGTGGCCAGGGACACCGGCGACGTGCGGACATGGGGACACCGGGAGCCGTGAATCAGCCGAGGCTGCCATGGCCAGCTCAGCACCGCCGTCACTGTCCCCGTCCCCACCGTCACTGTCCCCACCGTCACTGTCCCCGTGTCACCGCGGACGGGGCCGTGCGGGTCACGCGATGGGGGATCCCTCGGGACGCGCGGGGCTGCGGGTGACATCTGGCAGTGGGGCAGGGGCTGGCAGTGGGGCAGGCAGGGGGCACGGCGGTTCCGGGGTACCCCCGTGCCCCGCCTCGCCCGGGTCAACCCCCGTCGTGCCTCAGTTTCCCCGCGGGGCCGTTCCCGGGCGCTCCCGGTCCCTCCCCCGGGGAGTGGCGGCGGCTGGAGCCGGGGAGGGGAGATCGGGGGGGGCCCCGGCGGGGGCGGGCGGCGGGGAGGGCTCGGGGGGTCCCGCCCCGCTCCATCTGCCGCGCGCGGGGCCGGGGGCGGCGGGGGGGGGCGCGGGGACCCCCGGAGCGCGGCCATGGCCCCGGCGCGGAGAGACAGCGGCGACCGCTCCGACGGGGAGCGGCGGGACCGGGTCCGCAGGGCCGTCCGGGTGTCCAGCCTGGTGGCACAGGAGGTACGGGGGGGCCGGGGGGATCCCGGGAGAAGGGGACCCGCGGTTCGTCGCGTTGCGCGTGGGCGCGGGGTCCCGGGGGTGTCCCCACGCCAGGATCGCAGGGCTGGAGCCGGGGAGGCACCGGGGGTCGCGGCGGGCGGCTCTGGGGGGCGCCGGGGGTTCCTGGGGAGTCTCTCTTGAGGGGGAAATGGGCTCCTGCGATTTGTCTGGCCGCGCGTGGGCGTGGGGTGCCGGGACTGTCCCTGGGGTGTCCCCACGCTGGGGTATGGGACACGAAGAGAGGGGGCACCGGCAGTTGTGGCAGGGGTGTTTTGGAGAGTTTGGGGGTCTCAGGATTTTCTGGAGGGTCTCCCCCCCGGCGGGAAAAGGGACCTGCATGCCACTCGTCCTGCCATGCGTGGGTGCCGGGTCTCAGCGATGTCACTGCGCTGGGAGGGGGGACACTGAGCAGGGGGTGGCACCAGGAGTTGCAGCAGGCGTCTCTGGAAGGTTGTGAGGGCATCTGGGGAGCCCGGGGGCTCCAGGGGGTTCCCCCTGCTTGAGGAAGGGGGTCCCGTGGCTTGTCCTGCTGTGAGTGGGTGCAGGGTCCCAGTGATGCCCCCACACTGAGGTGGGGGGGCCATCGGGGGTTGTGGTGAGTGTCTCTGGGGGTCTGGCAGGGTTTGGGGCTCTCCCAGTGCTCCCCGGGGTTGGGGGTGCATCACCCCCCACGGGCACCCCATGACCAGGGTTGGGGGGCATCACCCACCCCGGGCCCCCCACGACCAACGTTGGGGGGCATCACCCACTCCGAGCCCCCGAGCCCACCCAGTGCCGTGACTGGGCCCGGTGCTGTGTCCAGCTGTGGCACGGTGGCCGTGGCTGTGGCGTGGGGAGGGGTGATGGCACATGGCTCTTGTGGTCCCCGCTATGTCCCCAGGTGGTCCCTTACATACCCAGGTGGTCCGTGCCATGTCCCAGGTGATCCTCACTGTCTCCCTTGGTGGTCCCCACCGTGTCCCAGGTGGTCTCTGCCGTGTCCCAGGTGGTCTCTGCCATGTCCCAGGTGGTCTCTGCCGTGTCCCAGGTGGTCTCTGCCGTGTCCCAGATGGTCCCATGGCTGTCCCCTCGCCGGTGGCCCGTGGCCGTGGGGCGGGTGTGGGTCAGCACCAGCGTCACGGGGCGGGGGTCGGTGCTGGGGCGGGCACGCCGCCCTCTGGGACGTCACCCCCTCCCCTGGGGACGTCACCCCGTCACAGGGCTCGTCCCCCACCCTGCCACGGGTGCCACCAGCAGTGGTGCCGCTGTCGCCGCCTGCCCGGGGTGGCCGCGTGTCCCCCGTGCCCATGTCGGGGGGTCCCGAGGGCACCGCGACGCCGCAGCTCAGCGACGTGAGTACCCCCAGTGCCACCCCCGGGGGGACAGCGGGGGGGGTCCCCACTCTTGGAGGGTCACCACAGTTGGGATGTCCCCAGTGTCAGAGGGTCCCCACAGCATTAGGGTGTCTGCTCTATTGGGGTATCCCCTACACTGGGGTGTCCCCTTAGTCAGGGTGTCGGCGCTATTGGGGTGTCCCCTGCATTGGGGTGTCCCCTGAATCAGGGTGTTGGCACTATTGGGGTGTCCCCTGCATCAGGGTGTCCTCACCAGGGACAGGTGTCACTGCAGCCAGGTGTCACCTGGCAGTGCCAGTGGTGACCACGTTTGGTGATACCTGCGGGGTCACGAGGTGTCTGTCTGGCCATGGGTGTCCCCAAGGGTCTCTCTCCCCTGCCCCCCCCCAGGTCGGTGATGCAGGTGGGTGTTGGTGTTCGGGTGTGTGGGGTCCAGAGGGTCTGGGAACCTGCTGGGGTGGCTGGGTGGGTGCAAGGGCCTGTGTCGGTGCTGCTGTGGGGCACCTGGGCAGGTGTGGGGCACCTGCCAGGGCGAGTGTTGGGTGCCTGTGTGGGTGTTGGGGGTCTCTGAATATTGGGTACCTGCTGGTGCAGGAGTTGGGGGGCTGTGGCTGTTGGGGACTCACTGGTGCTGGTGTGGGGCACCTGGGCAGGTGTGGGGCACCTGGGCAGGTGTGGGG